GCAAACGCAGTAGGTCTTTGTCATGGACGATACAGGCCGAGCAGAAGAGCTCTGACACCTATTCGTCTCTATAGTAAGGTTCTGAGTAGTTCAGCAGGAGTTTAAGTTCAACCATCCATAAGGAATAATGGGAAAATATATGTTTCTGTTATTGGACACAACTTCCACCCACAGAAAATCACATTCCAATTCTGAACACATTGGTATGATATTGTTCTTCTTTATTACTATTCAAATGTTTTATGAGAACAGAACCACATATTTGGGTGGGTATCACCTTTTGCATCATCCTAAACACACAATCCATGTTTTTACATATTTTAGGCACAAATTAGAATTTAAAAAGCTTTACATTAATTTTACGACCACACTGTTATCATGTTGTTATTGCAAACACCTCTTGGTGATGCAATTGGCTATTTATGTATTTTCATACTTGGGCAATAAGTTGGTTTAGATTCTAGTCTGGAAAACAGTTTTAAAAATATTTGTTGTGAATCAAATCGAGTCGCCCTGAGTCGAAGCTGTTGAGGACAATTACGCTGGAAGTCCTGCCTCTCTGGAGCAACATATTTTCCACTTCCAACATTAGTTTTATTGTGATCCTCTACTGTCATGGAGCTTTCGCGAAAGTTCACTGTGGTAGACCCGGCTGCTGCTGCCCAGATCTACAAGCTGCTCATCCTCGGCTCATCATACCAGCAACGCCCACATCTAATCAACCAATAACCACCAGGACAGCAAGTTAAAAGCCGGAGACGCCCACTTCCCGGCCTTCTGAAGTTTGCAAGCCTCCGCCGCCCCACCTCCTCCTTTTCTCATCGAAGCGTGCTTGCCTACTGCCTCTGCCGTCACCAGTGCCTAGGCCCCGGGGGGGATTATGCACGCGAGCAAACGCCGCGCTCAACAGCATCTCTCCCGGGCCTAGGGCGCCAAACATGCTTAATCAAATAACTCTAACTGCATTTTTCCTTATGGGTCTCTCCAAAGTGAACTGGACGTGGTCTCAGCGACCCCTGGCATGTGAGACAGGTGAAGGCGCTGGGCACAATGATTGACAGTGAGGTATTGATGTACAATTATTTGTATTAATTAGTAAATAAAGAGGAACAAAAAACAATCCAATGTGCATGTAACAGCCATCTTAAATATGAACGTACACCATCTTAAGCAGATAGCAGGAAGTGTGGTAAAGCATTGAATGAATAATCAAAGAGCTGTGGAGGAAAGCCGTGTGCGGGAGTTTGTTATCCTGCTGCTCATGCCGTCACACGGGGGACTGTGGGACTTTTAAGTGGAGAGAGAGATCACTTCCCTGGCTGGTTAAATTATGACTTCTGTGGAGCCAGGGAACCTCTTCACCCAAGGGCCATCTCCCAGTGTTCTGAACAGAGCTGAGACGTTGTGGAGGAATAAGTATGAAACTGACAGCTCTGAATTTCACAGTGGATCACAGAACACTAACCTCATACATTCTGCTCTATTAACAAGCTGTTATTAGTGAAGAAAGGTCATTATATATATATAAACCCTTAAGGTAACTGAATTGCATGTGAGGAATGTATATATATTTTTCCATGTGGATCATTAAGACTATTGGTCCTCCTAATTGTCAATCATTCTGGTGTAAAGCTGTCGTACGTGGTCACAATGGCGTGCACTAAAATCCCAGGTTGGGCTTCCACTGATGCTTCAGTCGCAAAGTTTCTACTCAACAGGTGACATTACATTTGGAAAAATCCATTTCATTTCACTTCCAGTAAAAAGAGATCTACGTCTGTAATGTATGACATAGTGGAAAAAGTGCAAATCTTGAAAAGTGAGCTTGTGTTGGCAATGCACAAGGAGAACGTGGCTCGTGCACGTCTCTTGCACTTGTTTTGGTAGACATTGCACATGTGCAAGTTTCAGAACTTCAGTCTTCCAGAAGAGACCTCAAACCCATAGCTTTCCCATGCCACCGCTTTACATTTATAACAAGAACAATGAAACAGTTTAGGACCATACTTCCAGATACACCAGTAAAGCACTTCCAAAAACATATCACATTTCTAAACTCAGCAATGACTTAAAACATGTTTGCAGCATGTTTGATGCACATGTTTCCAGAAGGCAGATTTTCTCCAAGACGGCCTCTCAAAGGGCTTGTGTCTGGAACTCTTGTCCAATTTGTAAAACATCCCTTGCCTTCCCTCTCCAAAAATTATCAATTGGATTTAGATTGAGAGAGAGTCTTGTTGAAAAACCCAGTGGTGCTCAAAGCTGATTGGTCCATGTTTGTGTTTCAAAAGCTTGGTTTACATTGTGCCCGCACCAAACACTGCAATGCTTCTGCCCAGTGGCTCCTGTGGCGTCGCCGGACTTCTACAGAAAGTTATTGAAGGGAGAGGCTGAGGTTTTGCGCCGAGGCCGTTTGCTAACATGCTTCTGTCGTTGGCGATGTCTCTCCACATTTACATAACGTTAACTCCCATTCAACTCGCCACGCTCAGCCCGCTCGTCGCCTCCCGTTACATTGGACTGAAGCAAAACTCCTATCAAAGACTGAAAATTAAGAAACCTAAACCAAACAGGCATTGAGCAATATGCCTCTGAAATGTGTAGCCAAATCGACACAAATGCGGAGCATTGAGTAGAATGTTAAAACGATGTGGGGGTTTTCTTCTTCAGCAACAACCAGTCAAAGAGCTTCAAGCATAAAGACATCAGCTGGACCCAGCTGGACCCCAGGAAGACCCCAGGAAGACCCCAGGAAGACCCCAGGAAGACCCCAGGAAGACCCCAGGAAGACTGGAAGCTGAGGATCCAAATGAATATCTCTTCACATCTCCAAAAAAGTCCACAGTGTTCCACATATAATTAATTACAGACCATTCTAACCATTAGAATGGGTGTTTATGTCAATAAGACACCTGCCACAGATGTCATACATATTTATGAAAGATGATTTCAAATCTGCTCATAGATTTATCATTATGACCAGCTTCAAACTGGTTGTCATACACTAACAGTTTGTGTTCAAAGACATGATAAAGCTCTTTTTGGAAATGCATTCAAATCCCAACGAATCATCTGTCATTTTGAGGAGAGTGTGTGGAGAGAAAGCAGATTAAAGTCTAGTCTTGGCTTGTTTTGGAGTATAAATTACAAAGCCCATAAGTGCTTTAATTAGGCCTGTTCTCTGCTAATAGGAGCTAGTGGCAGTTTGTTTATCCTCTGGAAAATGCAAAGCTGCTTGACGAGTCATCGGCAGATTCTGCTGTAAGAACAGAAACATGTTGACGAGGATCAGGCCGTGTTCATCAGAGGAAGGGAGATGGGTTACATGTGTAAACGATACCTGCAGTGATATTGGATCTTTTATCATTCAAATGTAACCCATTTTGTTCCCTGACAGCTAATGTCTGTTAGGAACCAATCACAAATATAGAGAGTGGTGAGGAGGTGGCATCCAATGATTATTTTAAGATGCGCAAGAGAGCGGCTGGGACAACTTTCTGACAGTTTCATCATGCATTAGAACACAGCAGTTCCTCCCAAATATGACATTGTTGCCTTTGATCAAAGCCCAAACAGGGATATGACACTTTGTTTCAGATGATTTCCATGACAGAGAGTGTCATTTTGGATCTGTCGGCTTCAAAGGATATATTGTTTAAAAGAAGGTTTATAGGGCATGTGCACAGAGACACGTGTGAAGTGCCATCAGGCAGCTGCGCAGGCATGTTGTAATTTTAATGTCACACAAGGAAATTAGTCATTACATTCTCAAGGCGTTACCATAAAAGACTCAGACAGACCTGTACCAACCAGGGCTTGAAAAATTACAAATAAAAAAAACAACTAAAAATTACAACTAAAAACCATATTCTCTTATTTTGGTGTTTTAAGACTACAACAAAGTATCAGCCAGCTGTGAGGTGAAATAAATAAAATGGCATATTTTATTCTTCAAATAAATAAACTGAAACATGGGGGGTGGACTAGCTTGGTCTTACTGCCATGTCCTTTGAGGTTCTCTTAATCATGAATTTACAAAATATTTTTAATGCACAAAAACAGATACAAATGCATGTATTTTATTTTGACACGCACGTCTTTGTTGACACCTTCCTACTACACCCGCCTCCCCCGTTCCCTGATTGGTCAGAGGGGATCAGACCCAGACGTTCCTGTAGGAAATGATAGTGATAGTAAGAATTTGACTCCTCCTTCAAGCTTTGCACATCTTGAGAGTGAAGGTTCTTGCCAAAACAATTCAAGTCTACATTCCCTCACATAAATTCTCCATGAATATATGTACGAGCACCCTTTTAATTTTAGTTTTATATTTTATTTAAACTTTTATTTGAACAAAATCATGTGACATTTTGCTTTTACTCCACAGTTATCCATGCATTTCTTTTGATTTCTCAGAGAAAAAACGAGAAAAACAAAAACTGCATGTGGCCACAAACATGACCAAAATTAGTACTTTTACAAGCCTGTTCCTGTCTGTTCAACTGCACACTAAATAAAATAAATACTACATTCATCGGGTGGAGAAAAGCCTTCTTGTAGGAATCCAGACCTTGCTATAGTTGAAAAAAGAGACACATACCATTAGAGAGGCTGACATGCAGTAGAACTAAATGGCTTGCAATGCAGATGTGTATATTTCATCACAATGTTGTTTGCTTTTTGCGTGGCATGATGAATCTGAGCGACGCCCTTGTTGAGACAGAGTCGGCGGGAGACACAGCCAGTCGGACTGATTGATGGCAGACGGTGCTGTCACCCCCGGAGAGTTCGCTTTTCTGTGTCATCTCCCACTGAAGGTCCTGGAGAGCTTGTTAAGGCACAAAACACTTTTTGTTTATAGGCCTTGTGACGGTAGACGCTGACAGATCCTGCAGAAGAGGAGATAGACCCCCTCTCCTCCTGCCCTCGCCTCTCACATCCTCTTCTCGCTCGACTCTAGTCAAATTTGGTGAAATGAGCATGATGATTTGAAATGCTAATCAGACATCTCCACACTGAAGAGTGGGGGAATCTGCGTCACCCATCTGGACAGCATTAGCTAAACGAAACACCAACCAGAACAAGATTTTCCATCAAGCGCAAACTTGAATCGATTACCAAGTCTGCACCAAACTCTAAAGTGAGCCAATTTTCACTTTCACAATTTAGACTGTTACCAACAACTTTGTCTTGTATGTCTGCCAATTATTATGCTGTTGTGTCTTCTTGAACTTCTTGAATCTGGACTAACTCGAATCACTTTAATGACAGAATTTAAATGGCTATTATTGATACATACTGTATATAAAGCAATACAAAAAAATGTATTATTAATACTACCGAAAGTTTAGAATATGTATAGTGACTAATTAAAGTGTAGGTTATTATTTTTTCTTCAGCCATTATTCATCGAAATTAAAGGGCAAGAACAATTTCACATAGAAATTGAAGTCATGGTCCTGTCCTAGTCCCAAACTGGTTGTAAGTGTTTGGCCTGTAAGATGTAAGATGGACAGAGTAGCATGGCCAAAGAACCGATTAAACAAGGAATACCAGGTGTGGACAACTGTGTGTGTTTATAATTTACAGAAGCTCATTGTATTCAAACAACAGGGGAGGGTTGACGACTTATTTTAACTAAAGGTCCTTTTGTGGAAACCAGCTCGACTTGCACTTGTTTCATCACTTCCTAAAGTGGCACGGAGCCGATAGATGTGTTTGTCTTGCTCCGCTTCGACGTCGGCAGCCGCCATGTGATCTTTGTGTGAATCTCAGGGTCTGTATTTAGCTCTCAGACCTGACTTGACGTTCCCTGACACAAAAATATCTTATTGCCGACATTTTTGAAGAGCAATAGTTGAATACTTTTTTTAGCCTAACCCTAGCAACAAAGTCAGTCTAACAAGATGTAAGATGTAGCAACTCTACAAGACATCAAAACTCTCAACTGGAGAGTCAGAAATGTGATGCAAGAAAACAATTGTTGAATTTAAAAACTTATTAACTTTTGTCATCCCACAGGACTGTCCGTCTTGCTCCGGACGAGGCTTTAGTTTGAAAAGGGCAGAGGCAGCGTGTGTGAAACCAGCTGGTGCTCCTGGTTCATGGTGTTGTACAAACTCTGCCATTTAGAATAAAAGAAACATGAAAAACATGAAAGCATGTTTGATGTTGAAGGGGCTGACCCTGCTCCCCACAGCCGCACACGCCTGAGCGACACGCCTGAGACACGCCTGAGACACGCCTGAGCGACACGCCTGAGACACGCCTGAGCGACACGCCTGAGCGACACGCCTGAGACACGCCTGAGACACGCCTGAGACACACCTGAGACACACCTGAGCGACACGCCTGAGACACGCCTGAGACACACCTGAGACACGCCTGAGACACGCCTGAGCGACACGCCTGAGACACGCCTGAGACACACCTGAGCGACACGCCTGAGACACACCTGAGCGACACGCCTGAGACACGCCTGAGACACGCCTGAGACACGCCTGAGACACACGCCTGAGACACGCCTGAGACACACCTGAGACACGCCTGAGCAACACACCTGAGACACGCCTGAGCGACACGCCTGAGCGACACGCCTGAGACACGCCTGAGACACGCCTGAGACACGCCTGAGACGCGCCTGAGACACGCCTGAGCGACACGCCTGAGACACGCCTGAGAGACACGCCTGAGACACGCCTGAGAGACACGCCTGAGAGACACGCCTGAGACACGCCTGAGCGACACGCCTGAGACACGCCTGAGACACGCCTGAGACACGCCTGAGAGACACGCCTGAGACACGCCTGAGACACGCCTGAGACACGCCTGAGACACGCCTGAGCGACACGCCTGAGACACGCCTGAGACACGCCTGAGACACGCCTGAGACACGCCTGAGACACGCCTGAGCGACACGCCTGAGACACGCCTGAGACACGCCTGAGCGACACGCCTGAGACACGCCTGAGCGACACGCCTGAGACACGCCTGAGCGACAAGCCTGAGACACGCCTGAGCGATACGCCTGAGACACGCCTGAGACACGCCTGAGACACGCCTGAGAGACACGCCTGAGACACGCCTGAGACACGCCTGAGCGATACGCCTGAGACACGCCTGAGAGACACGCCTGAGACACGCCTGAGACACGCCTGAGACACGCCTGAGAGACACGCCTGAGACACGCCTGAGACACGCCTGAGCGATACGCCTGAGACACGCCTGAGAGACACGCCTGAGACACGCCTGAGAGACACGCCTGAGACACGCCTGAGACACGCCTGAGACACGCCTGAGCGACACGCCTGAGACACGCCTGAGACAAGCCTGAGACACGCCTGAGACACGCCTGAGCGACACGCCTGAGACACGCCTGAGAGACACGCCTGAGACACGCCTGAGCGACACGCCTGAGACACGCCTGAGAGACACGCCTGAGACACGCCTGAGCGACATGCCTGAGACACGCCTGAGACACGCCTGAGACACGCCTGAGACACGCCTGAGCGACACGCCTGAGACACGCCTGAGCGACACGCCTGAGACACGCCTGAGAGACACGCCTGAGACACGCCTGAGACACGCCTGAGACACGCCTGAGACACGCCTGAGCGATACGCCTGAGACACGCCTGAGAGACACGCCTGAGACACGCCTGAGACACGCCTGAGAGACACGCCTGAGACACGCCTGAGACACGCCTGAGCGATACGCCTGAGACACGCCTGAGAGACACGCCTGAGAGACACGCCTGAGACACGCCTGAGACACGCCTGAGACACGCCTGAGCGACACGCCTGAGACACGCCTGAGACAAGCCTGAGACACGCCTGAGACACGCCTGAGCGACACGCCTGAGACACGCCTGAGAGACACGCCTGAGACACGCCTGAGCGACACGCCTGAGACACGCCTGAGAGACACGCCTGAGACACGCCTGAGCGACATGCCTGAGACACGCCTGAGACACGCCTGAGACACGCCTGAGACACGCCTGAGACACGCCTGAGCGACACGCCTGAGACACGCCTGAGACACGCCTGAGACACGCCTGAGCGACACGCCTGAGACACGCCTGAGAGACACGCCTGAGACACGCCTGAGACACGCCTGAGACACACCTGAGAGACACGCCTGAGACACACCTGAGACACGCCTGAGACACGCCTGAGACACACCTGAGAGACACGCCTGAGACACACCTGAGACACGCCTGAGCGACACGCATGAGACACACCTGAGACACGCCTGAGACACGCCTGAGACACGCCTGAGACACGCCTGAGACACGCCTGAGACACACGCCTTTGTGGGCCTCGTGCAATGTGTGTGAGAAGGTGAGCAGCGGATGACTTCCTTTGTTGGTGAGGCTCGCAGTTATTACAGAAGACATTCTCACGTCATACTATATTAAAACATTCAGAAAATGTATTTGTGTTGGACGTAATGAATTCAAATCACTTTTCAAAAACATCTGGCCTTTCCTTATTTTTCTCTACTATGTTTATTTTATTTTTTGTAAAGCGTCTGCGTGTCCAAAAAAGCACTTTATAAGTTAGCAATGTAACTATTGTTATTATTAATTTAAATCCTTCATAGAAAACCGAGGCCCCTTACCATTGGTTTAATTGTTCTCAGATTCAGAATAATTTTCTTTGCAGTAAAACCACATTGGAATACATTTTCAAAAGTCCCCAGTGTGCACAAGACAAGCACATACATAAAACAAGGTTAAAAGAACAAAAATAAAACATGCTTTTTGGGGGTGTTTCATCTCATATGTATCATCCATCCATCTTCTTCCCTTTAATCCATTTCTGGGTCAGGGGGGTGGCAGTCAGAGATGCACCAGCCCCTCACTGACCCTCTGCAGGTGGTGAGTCCACAGGAGGACGGCTGCTCTCTGAGTGTGAGCATAGCCTTGATCTTTCAGTGGGGGCTTTGGGCAAAGTGGGGTTAAGTGTCTTGCCCAAGGACACAACGACAGCAGTCATCAGTGGGAGTCGGTGGAGAAGGTGCAGAGGTGGGAACTGAACCCACGACCTTCAGGCCTGAAGGCCAATGCTCTAACAACTGAGCTACTGTCGCCCGACATCAAAATTTGTATGTCATTTCATTTCATTTCATCATGAAATGAAATGAAATGAAATGAAATTGTCTGTAGCTAACCAAGCCACTATAATGAATTATGCTGTCAATAGAAAGTAAGTAATCTTCATGAACAGCTTTTACAAATGCGTATAGCTTCAGAAAAGCTTTTACAACTGTAGAGATTGTCCTGAGCCTGTTCCAAAGAGGATGATAGACTCTAGAAACCCTGTGAACAGTGACCGCCGCTGTGTCTGCTCCTGCCGCCACATGACACCAGATGGGAGCAACAGTCTCCTGCTTGACAGTAAATGCAACCGCACCACCTGCGTCTGACATCCATGGTCAAGTATTCCACCACTTTTTCTGGAGCATTTGGTAAGAGTGAATATTTGGTTCTATGCGACACTGCGACAGGAACAAGCCAATGAGAGTGACAGGTGTGGAAGACGTCTCTTGGAATTTCACGGTAAAAGGATGGCTGAAGAAAAGGAAAAGAATGCAGATGGTGGTTAAAAATAAAGGGAGCGTGCAGGATAAAGAAAAAAGAAAATATGTGTTGAAAGACAGAATTGAGCCGCACAGCTGGGTCCTTCATTAGGCCCCTTGTAACTTTGCCAGAAAGTCCTCCACCGATCAAAGCCTCGAAAGATTTTAGCATGACATATAGATGAAGGCATATGCTTACATACAGCTTACCCAAAATATTAAGCAAACATTTCACAAAACAGGTTCAAACAAAGCTCTTTACAATTTGCTGAATACTTCTCACACATATTTTTGACGATGGGACGTGATGAATAAATGCGAATCCCACACATCCTAAAAATGATGTATTAATGTAGATGTAGACAAACAGGTGTCACTCACAGAAGATAGTTATAGGTCTCTGTCAAATTAACGTGTTCATAGGTTATAAAAACACTTACAATGGAATTTATTAAATCTAAAACAGCATTTAGTTCTAATCAATTAATACCAAAATGTCTTCAATCCAGGGCAGACAAAATAATGGAAATGTGACACGACAAAACCTTCCCACCAGGTTACATGGTGCAACCATTAAGACTTTACTGTTCAGCTGGGAAACAAACCTGGAACATTTGATTTTACACAATCTTACTCTTAAAGTGTTCTCAAGATAACCATTTAAACCCACAGAACTCCTCATGTGTGGGATGGCCAACTTTATAACACCATAAAGACGTATTTGGACAGCAACATATCAACTCAAAAGAGAATGTAGAGAAGAAAATCTCATTAAAACAGTATGGCTAGATTTTATGATTTGAAAAATGGGAATAAGGAACATGAAGACATAACTTTTCTTGTGGAAAAGTTGCCAAGTATTGAAGTAAACTACTTTTTTTCCGGTGGTGGGGGTAGGACTGAAAACACAAAGAAGCTAACATGAATCTCTGCTATTTAATGCACATCTGCATTTGTACTTTTCACACAATCATAAAGAAAAAGGAGACACAGAGCTCTAACATTCTGAATTCCAGTTCAAATCTCCATGGAGACAAGCATTTGGTGACATTAATTTATTTTTGTATAGCTCAAAATCCCAACGTCCATCGCTTCGAACGACTTCACAAAATAGTTGATTTGCCAATAGCAGATTTTGTAATCAAACTATTTTAAAAATGTAATTTTTAAAATAGTTCTGCCCAAACAAAATGATAAAATGTTGCAACAAAAAGCAATCAAGGCAATCTGTAATCTCTTCACCGCTAGAGTTCTTGTCAGAGTACATGCTAGAAGACAAAAAGACAGAAGTGCGGTTGTAAAGTTGGTATCGTAGCAGACGTGATTCGGTGCCTTGATCTTCCCCATGGCAAGAACAAGACCTCAATCTCCCCTTTAATCAAACCCTTACCTCTCCTGCATGAGTCGCAACAAAACTGTCAAGGCCTGAAAATAAGCCGCTGCCGTATCAAAGAGCCGAGGGTTCAATTGATTTCCAGGCCAGGCAAAGTTGATGCAAAAAACGGGAGAGAGATGGAGAAAGCACCTGCATCCCACACGTCAGCCAAATTAATTCTGACTTTTAATTTATTTCTGCAGGAAATGGAAAGCTACATCCTAAACCACAGTCAATAGGCCGACGGGAAGAAGAGAGAGGTGTAATCAGGAGGCTCCACAAGTCTGAGGCCTCGCTCCTGTCACTTTTAATAGGCACTCAGACCGCACAATCTGCTCTCGCTGGAACGCCGTCGCTACAGACCGGGGCTATCGGTGACTTGCATCGCGTCAAGTGTTGGTTGTGGTTCGTTTTCAGTGTGTTGACTTTGGTCCTTATGTGCGTTTGGTGGGATAATCAGTTTTTGCCAGCATTTAGTCGTACATGTGTGTTGTCAGCAGGGATAACAAATGCTCATAATTGCAAACTGTTTAACCCTTTTTAACCCTTCTATTCTCTACCTCTCTTCTTTGACTGTTGCACCGTGAGCCAAAGCCATATCCTAGTCTGTGACTGTCTCGCACGGCAATAAAAATGATTCTGATTTTGATTCTGAATGGTTTCCTCAATTATGTGGTTGATACTTTTTGAGTCACTGTTTTTCCTTGAAGCATGGTTGGAACCGAAAACCTCTTCTACCATTAAACTGCATCTCACAAATTCGGTAAAAGGCCTATAAATATATACGAGCACAAATACAACTGAAACGTGACATAGTATTACTCATCTCAACAATGAGAAAATGCTTAATTTTAGAAATTGTTTTAACAATAATACAAATACAAATGGTTAAACCGTTGCTGGCAAAGGTTCTATACTCTGACTGGCGGTGAGTTTTACGATGTAAATTAAAAATATGTGTATCAGTTGCAGGCATCGGGTCCTATGGTATGAGTCCATATAAATATAATAGGCATTAATTCCATGTTAGGGTTAAAGTAGATAATTAGGAGTACGGTTAGGTTTAGGGTAGCCTGGTCGTACCACACCATAGTACACATTTTATTTCATACTAAGGTCTGGATTTTCTCCATTGAACAGGTGGGAGGAGTAAACTCCTTTTGCAGATTGAAACGATTGGATCCGAGTTTGACGTATGTAGTGCGCTTGAATGTGTTGTTGCATTTAGCATTTATCCTAGCTTTAGCCATCTCCTTTGCTGCTAACTGAGCCCGTGGGGAGTAGCGCCACAATCTTGACCAGCGATTACATTTGCTAAACATTCCTCTTGCTCCTGCTTCAATTTCTTGATAGAACCAGACCGGATTACTTTACTACCGCATTCTTCGCCATTGCCAAACCACAACCTGCCCGTTCGGCGCAAACTCTTGACGTCACCGGCACCGACCTACAACGCGCTCTCTGAGTAGCCGGTCCAAATACGACCGATTGTAATCGCTAACACAGGGACCAGACCCAGACGTTACATGCAGTGAAATGATGACTGAGCGGAGTGTACGGATGGCTATGGCCAGGCTAGGTTTAGGGTTAAGAACAGGGTTACTTCAGATCGGGGCCCCACCTTTCAACATGTGTCATTTTCATATATTTTTTACAATTTGAATGTTTTTATCTAAAATAGTGGTAGATGACATAGACAAAGGTCATGACTATATCTGTTCAAAATGTGTCCCACGAAACAGCAATTGTTGAAGCATTGGGTCTTGTTTTGGGTATCGCAGGATAACAAATCACTCCGATGCTTGAAACACTCTCTCGGCCTATGAATGAATGAGTGAATGAGCTAAATTAGTTGTAATATGGTTAAAGTCTGTTGAAAGCTGTTTCCCTCTTTAAAGTGACGACAAATGTAATGGCGGATTGGCACATTTCATTAACATTCACGGTGGCGTCTCTGGCTTTGATACAGGCAGAGATTGGATTTTAAGTATCCTGGCTTACCAGCGCAGCTATACGGCTTATTGTCATTGCGCGTGAGAGTTTGCTTGGTCCTTTGTATCACATTTTGCCGAAATTACATATTAATGGATTTTTCTAATCTCGCTGCGCATCGGAAGGCTCAAAACATGCACGCGAGAATAAAAGGTCTCGTTATCTCGTGTTGGTGTGCACGAGAAATGGACATTTGGAGAGTTTGAGCCATTTTTGGGCCAGTGTACCAGGTGAAATGGAGATTAGCTTGTTCTGAGAGTCCCCGGTGTACGGATCAAGATTTATCTGCAAACCCCTTTCTCTTGTAGGCCAAAATGAAGCTTTCTGAAAAGAGATTAAATGGCAGGGGAGGGGACGAAACAATAACCATTACAAGTCACCTTCATTTTGCCTTCACCACTAACATCGGCGGGCAGCTGTTGCTATGCAGCGTGCACAATGCATAACAC